TCTTTGAATCAACGGTGATTCAGTTAAAACTTACCTGATATAACTTAAAGGATTTTAATGCAAGGATCGGGAAAAATTGTATCTGAAACTTTTTTTTCATCAGGAATAATATATTCCAATATCATGTTATTATAGTTGCAGCTTCAATTAAATTTATTTAAAATAATAATAACCCTAAGCGTAGCACTTTGGTGCAGCTGATTGTGATTGCCAGTTATTTTTGTCAGCTGGAACAATTTGACCAGTCACTGTTAGGCTCCCGTGCACGTGATCACGAGAACTACATGTCGACATAGAATCGTGAAATTACAACAAATATGAATTTAAACGAAACAAAGTATGGCATTTATGATATATGTAACCATTCTCTGAGAACTAAAGTTCATTTTAAGGCGTCAATAGCGGTAATCTGACCGTGGTTGCTGTTAATAACGGTGAGTTGTGCGATCTTTCGATCGCTTCACACATGATTTCGCCGAAATTAATTAAAACAATATTAAAAGGAATTTTGAATAAAATTACTAAAATAAGTTACAAACATAAGTCCAGATATACAATGAACGCTTTTTATAACAAGACAGTATAATTACATGATTAATTTGCCTATTTCAGTATTGATTTGTTGACGTGGTATTTCCGGTGTTACGTGCTCACGGTAATGTGTTTGCTTTGGGGAAAAAAGAAATCAAAACTTATTATTGCGTGTTTAATGATCACCCCCTTCTACACAGCTGTGTTTTTTGGGGAAAAAGTGTGCACTATACTCAAGAAAATATGGTAGTGCACCTACTGCTGTATGTGGCATGGCCTGCTCATCTGATACTGTTCTGCAGGCTGCTTCATCATTTTAGGAGGCATACTTCCCCAAGGATCATCAAGAGTCGGTTAACCGATCAGTCCGTAACAGAAACTCCCCCCTAGGACCGCTAAAGCCAGCTCTTCCTCTGAACCAAGCCAACATGGGACACAAACTGCTTTCTAACGACAATAAATATTTTCTTTGGCAACTAAAACCTTATCATCCTGTGGATGGAAAAAAAATGGAAAAGTTATTTCATGCATTAAAATCAATCTGTAATATGATACATGCTCCCATTTGGCTTGTCATTCCTCAGTTGTTGGTTTTTGGCTGTTGATTAAATTATATGAGATTTGGGTGGAGAAAAGGACAGAAAACATTTTTGTTTGGACCAACATTCTGAATGAAATATTTCATGAAAAAAAAATTTATATGTCAGCATCTGCATCAGTATAGTGATTACAATGTCAGAAAAAGTGGAGGGGAGCAGATAGGAATAATGGGAAGATGGACAGTGATTATAAATTTTGACTTTCATCTTTATAGGCAGTCTAGCCGTCATGTCTTTTGCTGGCAAAAGGAAACCGGAGAATATTAATAGATCATTTAGGCCGATTTTATCAAGAGACAATGTTACTGATATTGTCCAGGAAGATGTAAATGACGTTTGTATGATAATAAGAATGTATGATAGTAAGTACCTCAAGAACAGTGTGATGAGATGCTAGTGTGTGGTATCTTCCATTACTGGATAGTTTGTGCTGCACAGGTCGCCCTGTTGTCTAAGATGCTGCAATGATGTGTGGAAAATTCCAGTATTGGGTAGTTTGTGGTGCACCGGAAACGCTTGGGCCTGAGGTGATGCAATGACGTGTGGAAAATTCCATTATTTGGCAGTTTGTGGCACACAGGAAGTCCTGTTGTCTGAGTTGTTGTCACTGCTGTTTTTAACTTTACGGCCCTTGATTGGCAGGATCATTGGTTTTGGTGATTCATAAAACAGTTGCATAGAATTATGGTTTATCAGCCTGTGCTGTAGGGTATACCTAGGTGTTACATGTTTTTGTTTGGTTGATGTTAATGGTACACTCAGCAACCTTCTAGTTATATGACGGCAGCCTATGAATAACAGTGATTATCCACGATGTCAGGGTACGATGACATGGTATCATCCAAGTCACCGAATATGACCACCAGATCAATTAAGTCGCCTTGTACTAGTCATAATGGGCAGATGGAAACCAATTCTAGTGTGGAATCCCAATGTGTCTGCGTGAATTACGTTTGGGTGTCCAGGTATGAAGCTGACATGCCAGGATATCACTACAAAACTCTATCATGCAATCCTTATTTGTTCATATGACCGCCTCCGTGGTCTAGTGGTAGAGTGCCTGCCCAGAGAGCGGAAGGCCCGGGGTTCGATCCCTGGCCGTGTCTTACCTAAAGACGTTAAAAGATGGTACTTGTTGTTACTCTGTCTGGCGCTCGGCATTAAGGGGCTAAAACAAGGACTGGTTGGCTCGGAGTCAGTATACTGTGTCTGAGTGGGGTATTCATGTTAAACTGCGGCATGGTATCTCAGTGAGATGGCACTACAAATCGGCGTCAATCCGGACTAGTACAAGCAGCCACGCACACACGTGCATGCACGTCGCTATATAAGTGCAATAATCTTGGATGAGACGTTTAACTCCATTTCACCTCACCTATTTATTCATTTCCTATAACTTTATGACACAGGTCCAAAATACTGAATGTGACTTTGGGAATGATCTGGCCATTTATTTCAAGCAGGCAGTGGTGTAGCTCAGAGGTGAGAGTGTTTGCTTGTCACTTCCAAGACCTAGGTTTGGTTCCCGAAAGTGATGTTAACCCAACCCACATCCTAATTGTGAGGGTTAACTCTACCAATTGTTGTCCTGTTCATGGCTGTATCAGACATTGTAGGCCATTGTGAGATAAAATAAATAGTGATGCCTTGGATACAATCAATTCCATAATTCATACAAATTGAGTTGATAAAGTATGCTAGCTAGCCCAAGACTACACAAATTCAGAAAGTACCACTGTCATTTCCTTGTGGACTACCACTTCAGCCATTAGGCAGCCGGCAACTCTGTAGCAAATCATTTTTGTGGACAAACGAATCTAGAAAATAATTTCATACCGTAGTCATAATTATTTCTTTTATGGCAATCTAAACAATGATATTTTTCCATTACAATGTAACAAAATCCGAAACATCATCATTGCTTCTTTGCAAAAGAAGTCTGTTTTTACAAGAACCTATGAAAACTAATAGTTAGAAATGAAAGAAACCCAATTCCTTTTGCGGCACAGTATAAAGAAGTGAACACCTAGGAGAAGTATTTAAGCTTGGTGCATTTCATTGAGTTTTTCTTGTATTTAAGGACCGTAAAGACATAAAAATGTCATAATAGGGTTATGGAATGCTTACTGTCAGCTATGGACTATTCACACCATTGACAGTTATGTGATTAAAATGATGTATTTGACCAGAGTGACCGGTTCATTGAGTGGGTCGTGCGTTTCATCAACAGAGAAAAATGATGATATACAAAGAGCTGTTCATTAGATGTAATCAATCGTTGGGCTAATAGCATGGAAATACAGGCCATAGAGGGACACAGATAGAAAAATGTAGGGCCAGATAGCATCGTCAATTTGGAATATCTGACATGGAATTGACGGAGAATGACGTATTGCCAGGAACAAGTCTGTGTCATGCTGTTTGAAGTGTTTATTACCGTTTGAGGCTGTCACTGGTGATTGGTTGTGTTTTGGTAATGAAGAAGGTTGGTGGTTGATAGATGGGGCTAGCTAATATTGTTTTGTGATTGAGAGTATAGGATCAGGTCACCTGCTATATCTTGCCATCTTTCAAGTGTTAGGAAGAAGAAGGAAATCCGTTGTCTTGATGTTGTAATGAACAGATGTTAGTCTTGAAAGTGTTTTTTTCCTTTTTTAAGAAGTTTGACCTAATTTTTCAATTTTTGTTTATGTAGATCTTGATTTGAAAAGTAAAGTAAATGAAAAAGATTTGAAGTGACCATCTTAAATTTTGTGAACTCATTGTAATAAATTCTTGTCTTGAAACCTCTTTGATGTTTTGGAAGTTGGAAAGGAGTGATTTTGACAACATATATTAACAACATTAATTTGTGTTTTGTGAAATTTTCAATGTAGTGCCTCTTACTTTGTCAGTGAATGCAGAATAGAGATTGTGAAGTCAGTTGATCAGTGAATCATAGAGTTGTACGGTAAAACCCTTCAATCCAAACCCCACTGATCAGGATGCCAGATCTGTCATGAACGTCCATCTTTATATCCATGATTTGTTAATACATGTTAATACTGCTATTAATTGCCTTTTACGCCCAGTGGAATCTGTTTTGTCAGATAATCGAGATTGGTTATTCTCTGGCGCTGACATTTTATATTTGCTAATCTGAATGTGAGTGAGTACGGTTTTACGCCGCTTTTAGCAATATTCCAGCAATATCACGGCGGGGGACACCAGAAATGGGCTTCACACATTGTACCCATGTCGGGATTGAACCCGGGTCATCGGCGTGACGAGCGAATGTTTTAACCACTAGGCTACCAGACCGCCCTGCTAATCTGAATGATTTAACACTGTCCCGATTTTCCAGGACCTTCTTGATGATGACGTTTGTGAAAGTCCATCTTTACAATGAGGCTTTGCTGCGTACATATGATTTCTTGATACATGTGATTGGCCAATCTTGATGATTTCGCATTGTTCCGATTATCCGGGTTTAACTGTATTCCAGTCATGACTGGCAGTCGGAACTAATTTCTTCGTGTCACATGTCATGTCGTTTTTTTATATTTTCAATCTAATAATTCCAAAGTACCAAAATGATAAAAGATGAAAGATAGACAAATTCCTCCAAATGGTTTGGCAAGGTATCACATACTTACACATAGCTGTCATGATATAAATGACTGAGTACACTTCACAGATTCATAATGAAAGGATACATTGTATATGGATATATCATAAGGGGACATATACTGATATATCATTATATGCCATGATTTACTGATATGTGAGAAGATATTACTGATAGATCATAACATGACATTGATAAATATGAGAGGACTCAGGACACAAAATGACACATTACTGATATGCTGTTATTGTTGTATATTGCAGGAAAGCTAACAGTGCTGTCTTCCCCGACACCATTCCTGTGACGATGCCCAACCTGATCCGATTCGTGCTGCAGCACTCTACGCAGAGTCTCCGAGTGGAGACAGCTCTTGGCGTCTGTTCCAAAGCCTGTATACAGAAAAATCGGGAATATGCTGTTAATGCTCGATATAGCCTACAACAGAAGCAGTCACGTCTTCGACTGCGTCTGAGTATGATTAACGCAGAATGGGACCATTTGAGCACTACTGCAAGGATGTTTCGATACATTTCCCGGAGACACATCCACAGCGTTCTGCAGCAGACGCGACGGAACCTTCTGGTGGTTGATCAGCTGCAGCAGTTCCTCCAGTCCAGCAATGGAGTTTACATCGAAAATTCCAAACTGCGCCAGTTTATGTCAGAGCACAAACTTCTTCAGGAATTGGATCTCAATGCCAGTTAATGATTAAACCTTAATATTAATATTACCGTTATGTCAATTATGTGGTCTCCGTAAACATTGTTATTTCCACTCCAGACAAATATGCATGTTTTTTAAAATGTTGACGTGAGGTATCTGTTGCCATTTAAAACATCTACAGTGCACAAGGGGTGAAGTTGTTTTGCACTGTTTTGACATTTTCAAAGTTGATGGATTGCCTATCATAAGCATTTTGGAAAATAAGATACATTGTCAAGATGATTTAAGAGTCAGTAGACGTAGCACTATGCAGGAAAACAGCATTAGAAGTCACTTTGTTCAGTTTATGGAACGTGAGTCAATATTTTTTCATGGTGATGCATCATTTACAATATGTCAGTTGCTGTTGTTTTTCCTGGTTCTAATGTGAAATCCGTTCTTTTTACAAGATCAGGAGATAATGGATGTGTGCATGACAGACTGTTGTGATAACTTTGGAGTATTTGTGCACAGTTTTGCATCCAGCCGATTGCATTACTTAATATTGTGGCACCTCGTGGTGTGAGCTGAATATGATATTAACTTATTCAAGCAAGACAAAAACTCATTATTTTGTAAAATTCTACATTTTTTGTTTTCTCACAAAACAACAAATATTGAACCTCACTGAATTTAGAATGAAATTTTATTAAGTTTTGAAATATGAAATGTCAACGCCAGAATATAATCAGTCTCGACTATCTGCAGGAACAGATACCATTGGGAGTAAAACGCAAAACAGCAGTGAAAATTATATGCATGGATCACTGAAAATCATTAATGACACTAGATGTTCTCAAAAATGGTAAGCATGTCCTGTCCAACCGGTAGCACCTGCCACTCTTACCATGAATGTAGAATCAAAAGAGGAAGGAAAAATTGACATATGAGTTCACAGAGTTCAGGATCTGAATGAAAGTCAGAGGTTCTTGTCATTACCTCAGTGTAACATATATAGACATTTAGGGATCACTTTTAAAACACGGTATCAGAAAATATCAGAAAACCACAAGGATCCAGGACCCTCTTTTTTCTGATACAGAAACACTGCAAATAATGCCCTACAGGGGCGGATCCTGAATTGAAAAAAGGTCCAGTTGGGCCATTTGTAACTTGAGTGGAAGAGAGACCAAAGCCTACACCAAAATATACCTTTGATTGTATGGTGCGTATTCCTGTAGTGAGTTGTTGAATTCATTTGTGCAGGAGCCGCACTAGATTTTTATCACCATCTATTGAATGTTGGCCATCAGGACTTGCCACAGTCACTCTCAGCGAAGCTTCTGCATCTCCTGTTATTGGCAAATATTAAAACAGGATACGATCCATCACTCCTCCTTGCTTTGAAATGAAATAGAATTATGTCGTAATGACTGCATTTTTTCGCTGTAAATCATACCACTTTGTCAGGTATTCATATATACCTTTTCATGTGTGTTTACAGAAATAAATCCAGGCCATCCAAAGATTTTGTTATTAAAAATGGCAACTATTGTATGACATAAAACTGTCAGTGTTAAGTGTTGCTGATGTGTTGGCTGCATCCCAGGGCTAAGTCTGATGGGCTCTACATCACACTGGGGAATGTCTGGACCACAGCACTCTGTCAGGCCAATTAGTTTATTATGTCACATGTGAAGACTGATTTATGTTGCACATATCTGACCTGCATTCATCTTTCTGGTGCTGGGCTCAGGAGAAGCATGATAGGTGATGGCCTGAATCTGTGATTTGAACAATTAGGTATCACCGAGTGAGAGAAAGAGTGATGGCGAGTGAGTGATAGTAAACAAAGGATAATTATTTTGCGAATCTGGGATTTTAACAATTACCGATTGAAGTAGTGAGTGAGTGATAGTGTATGAATGGTAGTGAGTGTTCGGGAGTGAGTGATTGAATGAATGATTTCATGCTTCTTTAAAGCTTTTGAGTTCGATCATGGTGTTATATCACGAAGAAACTCCAAAGTGGTGCAGATTATACATTTACACCACTTTCCTGAAACGAAAAGCATGGGTATGGATTATGAAGTCCAGGATAATGATTTGAGTGAATCTAGTATTCAAACCTAAGGGTCAGGGAAGCAAACCTGCACAGCAAATTGCAGCACCGTATACTGCAGGGCCATCAGTGACAATGTTGAATTTTTTCTCTTGGTGCATCTTGCTGCAGAGCAGTGATAGAACGATGTCTTGTTTAAGTTTATTGTCAGGCGGTCATTCTGTTCAAACTGGGGGGCACGGTTGGCCCAGCCGTCACTGGGCATGCCAGAAACCTATGATTGTGGGTTCGAATCCCGGTTCCTCCAGATTATGTTTCTAGGTTTGTCAGCACCATACCTGTGCTCGTGGGTTTCACCGAAGTGGTAAACGTCTGAGACCTGAATCACTTGGGGCTTTCCTACCACATTAAGCTGACTAGCCGCGATATAACTGGAATACTGTCAAAAGTGGCTTCAAACCCAACTCACTCACTCACTCACTGTTCAAACTGGATGAGATGAAAGACAGAAGATGAGACATGTCAAAGAGGCACATTTATTTTGTAATTATTTTGGGATAATTGTGAATAAATGTTTGATACCTTTGAAATGACTTTCTGATTACTTTATTGTTGGTGGTAGGTTATTGTAGACAGTAGAGCAAGTAGGGGGACTGAGCAGATGCTTGTTATAAGACATTCTTGATGTCTGAGGAAAACGTTGGTTTGTTGTTTTAAAATTGAGGAGTATGTTTCTATTTCATATGAATATTTGTGTGAATGTGGTTGTATAAAGAAAAAAATGCACTTACTAATGTTGAAGGTGCATAATCTTGGATAATGATGTGATTGGTTTTATGGATCTATTTTTTTTGTCTAATATTTGAGATTTGATAAAGATTGTTGATGTATGAAATAGATTACTTTGGGAATAAAAGGCTAAATAGTTGTGAAAATTATATGAATGGATCACTAAAAATCAGTGATTACACAAGGTGTTCACGAAACCTCAGGGGCATTTATGTCAGGTTTCTGAAGAGCATTCCTTTTTCATTGACAGCTAATATTTTGAAACTTTGTTACAAAATTATCATTTTGCTCAATATTGATCAATTTGATGGCTGTGATTATGCTTTAGGTCCAAGAAAAATATTGAAGTTGCACCTATTAGAGATTTGTTATCAGATGTTCATAACCAGTTGTTCATTGAGGAAAAGTGCTCATAGTTAACTAAATATTAAAAAGTACATTTAAAAAGAAACTTTAATATTTTGTCTGTTTTAGTTCTTAATTTTTGGTAATTTTATTTCTTCAACATGTTTTATGCAACGTATATTGATAATTGACTTTGTACAATAACTATTTGTTTGCCACTCTGGTATACAGTATTTTTGTGTGTTCGGTTATTACAATAGTATAATTGCAATTTAACACAATGATTGATAAACCTCAGCATGGTACCTATCTCCATGTCTCCATTTTGATGCCTAAAATGATGTCACGATCATATCAACTTACCTGACTTGTGTTAGAAATCCTCCATATCGGATCATACCTTTTGTCAACTTCTATGTTATTTTGTTTGTGCTCTTTATAACTAGGTACATGTATTTGCAATGTTTTATAGACTTGGAAAAAGAAACATCTCCTAAACCTATTAGTATGTATATAGAGAGGTGATTCTGTTTGGCATGAAGAACCTGCAAGTCCTGTGGTAGCTTCCAGTTATTGGAATGATACTATGGACGTATTGTGAATATACAAATACATATACATGATTGTACGTGACAATGTCCAGACCGTTATTGGATGATTGGGGCTCTGAAGGTGTAGAGTGTTAAGGTCCTTGGTATAAAGGATTATTATTGTCCATTATGCTTGTGCATTGTAGCCATCCAGGGTAACTCATATCAAGATAGGAAAACATGATGGCATGGTTTCTTTTATGATTATTGTTCACAACAAGTTTTTGTCATTTCATCTGACGTTAGTTCAACTAGAACTAGAAGATCACGACTACAGGTCATATGGTTTTTGTAGTTGACTCTTCTTGCAGGAAAAACTGTTTTTGAGTGAGTGGGATTGTGCTATGTGACTGCATGTTAGATGAAGAAATGTGTACATTGAATTTTCATCTGCATTCCGGGGGCACGGTTGGCCCAGTCGTCTAAGGCACCACGATTCGCTGTGCAGAGTTGCGTCCCTTGGGCAAGCCAAAAACCTATGATTGTGGGTTCGAATCCCGGTTCACCCCGATTATGTTTCTAGGGTTGTCAGCACCATACCTGTGCTCGAGGGTTTCACCGAAGTGATAAACATCCGAGACCTGCATCACTTCGAGCTTTCCTCCCACATTAAGCTGACACGCCGCGATATAACTGGAATACTGTTAAAAGCGGCGTTAAACCCAACTCACTCACTCATTTGTCTGCATTCCTTAAGCTGTTTTATTTTTGTTCTTATATTTGTTTTTATTGTAACAATTAGTAATGGGCATATTTCTAATTTCAAGTAACAATTGAAGGATGGCAAAAGTAAAAGTAAGAAATATTAAGTATATCTTCTGTCCAAGTATGAACTATGTGTACATGAAATTTACAATGACATGATTGTGTGACTGAAACACATATTTTATTATTTTTGAGTTTATGATTCGTTGTATATAGATTTGTAAATACTTGTATGTATTTATAGAATATGTGCAAATGAAAACAAAACCGATGTATAGCTCAGTCTTAAGAATCTGTTTCCAAGTGCACTTGTTGAGATTGTAATTTTTCAAGACAATCTCTTCTTCTCACATAGTGCAGCAAACTAGCCACTTAACGCTTACATTGATGAACAGAGACTACCATTTCATGGTATAGAATTGTTGATTAATTTCCCTGTTACTGAACTGGGTCCACAACCTGGCCTTACTAAGTGGAAGCATGAAAAATATCAAAAACCAAACACTTTGCTGTTACTTCTTTGTCATAAATAAAAATGTCAAAAATGACCATCTGTCACCGAGAGTTTCTCGTTGTGGACTATGAACCATTGTTACTGACATTTAATATGGTGTCCGTATTCTTGAGTTCATCATAGTCACTGTAGATGTTTCCCTAAGTCATTGCATCTGAAATTTAACATGGTGTCTGTATTCTTGAGTTCATCATAGTCACTGTAGATGCTTCCCTCATTGTCTCTGCATTAGTGGGGCATCCAGAAATGCTGTAAGCAATCATAGCTCCTTTATCTCCAGCATGTTCAGTGCAGTATTGATAATCAAAGTTACTGGAGACACTCCACTTACCCCGGGATTTGATACTACACGTAGCGGATCTACGGTTACTTGCTAAGATATTCCATCTGTATAAAGAATACTAGTTTTCATTATGCATGTCAACAACCAGATTCATGTTCATTACATTTAGAATAAGTTTTGTATTTTGCACATGATATGCATGAGTGAATTGTTCCTTTATGGTATTGTATTTTGAGCATAAACATGAATGTCCTCATTCTCTGTAATTCCAATCAAACAAAGTACATTATATTTTTATTGGTAGGAATACAAATCAAAATGAATGGATGTATTCAGAGCTGCCAACTCTGAACCATAGCTTTTAAGCGCGGTATAAGAGCATTGCTGGTAAAGTAAATATGAAGTAAAGAGCAAATGCTAGTTTGACTAATTGAGTTTTACTTTGAAACAACAACAGGCAAACCAACCAACATTCTTATCAATACACTTCCTAGGGAATTCAAAAATGTCATTTCCTCAATACTTATTAGAAATGAGGCTATTTTTTTTTATACTATTGCTGCTATGGCTTAAAGCACTAGTTACTCATTCACTTTTTCTGTATGTTTGATTCCAGATGGTTGAAGAAATGTGTGATTTGATAATGGGAAATTGTGTTGGCAGTTCTGAATAGTTCAATGTTTTTTGACATACTGGTCAACTGAGCAAATGCTAATATGTTTGGAAATTGGCATTTTGTTGTTTTCAGGGATTAAACTATGTCTAAAAAGGTGTATCTTAGCTGTGACAGGCCAAATGTCTCAACAACCATTAATTAGCATCAGGAAACTTGCCAGGGTTTCCTTGAGCCAAACCATTTTCATACTGCTATTGTGACACAACAAATATAGCTTGCATACAGGACCTACAAATTACATGTGAACTAGGCTCTGTTTCACATAGTCATCTTTGTGTAGCATATTTAGCACTAATATCACTTTTGGAAATTGTGCTTTGGAAACAACCTCCATTTTTCAGTAAATTATGAATAATGTTTATGGTTCCATTCTGTTATGATGAGTACCCTGCAGCTCTACTCTGCCATGGCATCATTTTGAGTCTGACATTCGATTCATCAGACTGACGAGCGAGAATATTCTGCAATGATGAGAGAGCTAGAGATCATGACGTCACTCCACAAATGAAGATTTGGAATTCGGTCCAAGGGGCATATTATGATAGAATATAGTGGATATTCGAGGATGTTTGGCTGCTTGAAGTATGTGCCTTTAGTGGAAGTGGATTGAGAAAGTTTTCACTCTATAGTAATATGTTTTTCTCCTTTTCATTCTGTCTCTCACATCTATTGAATATTACCAGTGTCATGTACGCCTGTCACTGATGCACTAAATCCTTCATTTGAAGTATTTGTAAGCCTTTTGTCTGCACAGGAAAAAGCCCTGAAAAGTGCCATTGGTTGCCATGTCATTAATTCACAATTAATCTTTGATTGATAGATGTCAGGTGGTGTCCAATCTTTTCATACGTTTCACAAGTAGTGCATCATATTTACACCACGTGTTGAGGATGTGAGGAATATATGGAAATGTATCTGAGGGAAGAAATTCATGAATAATTTACGATCAACATAAATAAATTCTGCGTTCTTATTTTCAACCACGTATCTTGTTATTAACATATTAAAGAGTTTATCTGACTTGTCTGTCCACCAGCTGACACAAGTAATAGAATATTTCAATTGGATTAAAACACAAATGCCTTGTCAGTATTGAGCATGCTCTTTCTTTAATGATATCAAAGAGCATCATATGACTAGTGGTAGACATGTGGAGGACATTTACAGCATTTACATTTCCACGGCAAATTCTATTCCGACTTGTTCCAAGTGTTCCAGTTCTTCTTCAAGTAAACATTCCAACTTGAACTGTAAATGCTCTGAGGCATGAACCCCTTTTTAAATGCATTTGATCGCCAGTGTCAGGAAGCTTAAATAAAAGCGACAAAACCCTTTCTATTATCATGAGAAATCTCTTCAAAATTCAGTGTTTGTGAAAAGGTGAGCACATCCTGCACCACCGGGATGTCAATTTGACATTACACCAACATCTTTGTACACCACTATCCCACATGACAAACCTGAGGAGAAGGTTCCTTCCTTGATCGAAGGGGCTTTTGTTACAGAACGATGTGACCATAGATACAGTTACATATCTATCTTCAGAGGTTCAGGACAATTTGTGAACAATGAAAGCAAATGCCATCTGAAGTTGACCGAGAAAATGTGTGAAATGCTGGACTTCCTCATGGATAACATCTTTGTGAAATTTCGGCAAGACGAAGGCATCCCCATGGTCACCAATTGCGCTGCTCGTCTTGCTGATGGGGCGGTCGAGTAGCCTAGTGGTTAAAGCGTTCGCTCAACACGCCGAAGACCCGGGTTCGATTCCTGACATGGGTACAATGTGTGAAGCCCATTTCTGGTGTCCCCCGCCATGATATTCCTGGAATATTGCTAAAAGCGGAGTAAAACCATACTTACTCACTCACTCACTCTTCTTGCTGAGCTGTTCCTTTGTGCATATGAATCCGAATTTCTGGTCGGACTGGCAAAGTCAAAACAAGGTAATTTGGTCAATAAGTTTAACTTTAGCTTCAGACTTCATCTGTTTCATATTTAAATATACACATGCACAAAAGTTAAGCGCCACCATATTCATAATCTCTTGATTTCACGTGTGGGAATCAGAAATACGAAATATGATGATGTATGACTGAATTAGGCTTCCATAGTTTCATGAACCCAAATTCGTCCAGATACCACAAGGAAAGCGTGCTTTACGTGTTGCTGCAGTTCCCCTACCCTACAAATAGTGAAATTCAAGTTTCAGACACGTGGTTGTATACTAGCCACATAAAGAAACTGTGCACGGAGAAAATATATTCTGGATTGAAATACAACACAGCAAGAACAAAATTATGCAGACGCTGTAGCAGCTGAATGATCGGACCATAAGAAAATGTCAACGGGACCTGAACAACATCTGTTACGATGACGTCAGAAGATCAAAATGGAGTAGGGGGTCAAACGACAAAGTCACAAAGTCAATAACGGGTATGACCACCCTGTGCGTGAATCACAGCAGTGCATCGGCGACGCATGGAGTCCACCAAATGGGCATGGAAGGCCTGGGGAATGGCCTGCCATATCCTCCTCAAATCCTGTGCCAAGTCACGGACGTAATCTGGAGGATGTGGAAGACGACGCAGACGGCGCTCCATTTCATCCCACACATGCTCTATTGGGGAGAGATCTGGAGAAATTGCAGGCCATGGCAGTAACATGACATTGTTATGGTGAAGGAAATCCATTGCGATCCTAGCCGTGTGAGGACGAGCGTTGTCCTGTTGAAATGTCAATGCCGGGCCATGACGTTGCAGGAAAGGAATGACTACAGGCCTCAGAATCTGATCTCTGTAGCCAACACCGGTGAGATTGCCCTGAACAACCACCAAAGGGGTTCGGTGCCGTGCTGTTATCCCACCCCAAATTATTACAGAGCCACCTCCAAAACGATTCCTCTCCACAATACAGTTGCGTGCATAACGTTCTCCCAAACGCCGGTAGACACGTTGGCGCCCGTCACTGTGGGAAATGTTGAACCTCGATTCATCTGTAAAGACAACATTTCTCCACCATATTCGAGGTTGGCGAACATGATTTCGACACCATCTTAGACGGTTGACTCGATGACGGTGTGTCAGGATGGGACGTATGGCAGGGCGTCGTGGTCGAATCCCGTACTGACGTAAACGATTCCTGACAGTGTTGGGATGGATACGGCGCAGTCCAGGAATTGTCTGGGACGTCGTTGCTGCCGTTTGGAACCTGTGTCGGAGATGTGTAACTCGCATCCATCTGTCCTGTCTTGGCGTCGTTACTCGGGGACGTCCTGAACGTGGGTGGTCGGCAACGTAATTTGTGTTCTGATAACGCCTCACCAATGCCGATATCGTGTTACGATGGCATTGGAAATGTGTTGCCACCTGTTGTTGCCTCATTCCCGCTCGGTTCATTCCAATGGCTTCATGACGCTGTGCAGCTGTCAATCTTGGCATGATATGATTGTGTCTGCGCCTGAGAAGTTTTGAATTTTGAGTTGCACATGCTGTGTACAGCTGCACAGGATGCACGTGCAGTAACACATTGCACGTCCATAGGCCCCCATCAATGACGTCATATCGCATGGCACGTGCATGAGCGTTTGAATGTCTCCAATAATTGCTGTGTTCAAACCTATCTATGTGGCTAGTATATTTTGCTCCTGTGTGAGATTCCAATTCCGATCCAATAGAGGTTGAAAATCAGCCATGGTGAGGAGATAGTTAACGAACGCTGAAAGATGGCAAGTGATAGGCATGAAAAATGCTGGCATGTCATGCAGGGCCATTGCAAGACAAATGGGTCGTCATCACAGTGTTATCACTCGTTTGATTGTCAAACATGGTCAAACCAATGATGTCAATGACAGGCATAGGTCTGGTAGGCCAAGAAAGACCTCTAACAGAGAGGATAGACGTCTTTTCAGGATAGTCAGACGAAATCCATTTGCCACTCCAACAGATTTAAGACTGCAGTGGATTACCCATCAGAGACTCTCGACGATGACCGTAAGGCGTCGCCTCAGAGCGCGGCTGGTTATAACGCCAGAAGACCAGTAAAACGTCCTCAACTGACTGAGAGGCACATGCGGAATCGTCTGATATGGTGTCGTGCCCGTAGTCGATGGAACTTGGCCAACTGGAGAAGGATCCATTGGTCTGACGAGTGTCGAATGCTGCTACGAACTGTTGATGGTCGAATACGTGTTTGGAGGCAACGTAACACTCGTTTTGCACCAAGGAACATCCAGAAGACCTTAGCATGTGGGGTCTGTCATGATATGGGGTTGTGTTTCCATCGGCTGCAAACTTCCGCTGGTGACAATTCGTGGAAACCTGAATGGCCAACAATACCAAGATGCTGTTCTTCGTCCAGTGGTAGTCCCTCATTTTGACAACCATCCTCTTCAGACAAGACCTGTTTACATGGACGACAATGCTAGACCACACAGATCTCGGGCAGTTTTGGCTTATTTGCGTCAAGAAGCTATTGCCACTCTTCCTTGGCCAGCCTGTAGTCCGGATCTTAATCCGATTGAGCATCTCTGGGACATTCTTGGCCGGAAAATCAGACATCGTGATCCCCCAGTTCAAAATCTCGCTGGACCGCACTTCATGAAGAATGGATACGTTTGCCTCAGAGAAGCATTCAACGACTTGTAATGAGTATGAGGCGTAGGGTTGAAGCTGTGGTCAATGTCCGTGGATCATACACACGTTACTGACGTTTCTGTCTTGCAATAGACTCTGCACTCCCTAGAGTGTCTATGTGACACCTGATATGGTCACCTGATATCATGACAGTTTCATGGCAAAAAAAGTTTTTCAATGTTTTCTAATCCTTCAATTTCTGGTCTTCGGTAAGATTCCATTCTGCTCATATTCTTTTGGAACACAAGATAAACTTGCTTTGGGACAACTTTTGCATCACATGAGGTTTACATATACGGCTTATAACAATCGTACATCTCGTTATAATAGTCATCATTAAGTGCCAAAAGTAACGGCTCTCAAATATGGTGGGTGGCGCTTAACTTTTGTGCATGTGTATATATGCATAAAGTTTCAGAGTGACAAAACACTCTCGACAGGGCTGTATGACAAGAGGGGTGACTTCAACTTTCCAATTGTCAACTTTCACTTTATCTCGAGCAATATCCCTGCAGCTCTAGCACTTGGTGTCTACATTTCACACTTTTTGAGGCACAATCGAGCATGGTCTTTCTTCCAAGATTTCAAAGAGCATCACACAACTCTTACTCAGAAGTTGATCAAGGTTATAACATCCAAGGCCTCAGTGAAGCTTTCAGAAAGTTTTATGGGAGACCATTGTTTCAGGTAAACAACTGACTTGCCTTTGCATGTGTTTGTGACGGGTGCTATTGGTATAGCCGTATTTCGCGAAATGTCAGAATATGTACAGGGTTTGTAGCTTTTATCACACGTGATTCCATCTGTAATGACGGAACTCTGTTGGGGAATGAATATGACGTTTCAATTGGTTGGTTTTAACGATGTTTAAAAAGCCGAGTTTATGGCTTCATGGGGTTGATATGTACCGATAGTTGATATCAAATGTAAACGTTGCATTTTAACTCTAATGGGTTCTGAAGTTACGAATAAATGCGTTGCGTTAGATTTTTGTAAAAGAGTGACAGTAAAAATGAAATTTTTGATTTTGTAATAGTTGTTACCAAATGCATCAAAACGTCGACACCGCGTATTTTCACTCTAATCGGTTCTGAAGTTGTCCCTCTTGCTCCCTGCGGCCCACGTGTCAACCCTGTAATGGAATACACATTACCACGAAGTTCCTGCTGCTCTCATTGATTTTCACTACGATTTAAGACTAGGGAAATACCCGATCCTCCCATGCTTAACGCTAACAGGCATCCAACGGGGATGTTAGTCTCAACTGTCCCTCTATTATGGATCATCATGCTTAGAATCGGAGTCCTACATTATGGGATAGTAGTTTCGGTAATACCTTAATGACC